TTACTTCCCTCAATCTGCTGGCAACTCTCCTACTAATGCAACCCAGTATGCTGTTAGGTTTCTTGGCAACAAGGGCACACTGTTGACTCATATCCAGCTTATTGTCCACCATAACCCCCAAGTCCTTTTCTGCAGAGCTGCTGCTTAGCCAATTGGTCCTGAGCCTGCACCAGTGCATGGGATTGTTCTGTCCTAAGTGCAGGACTTTGCACTTGTCTTTGTTGAACCTCATGAGATTGCTTTTGGCCTAATCCTCCAATTTGTCTAGGTTCTCACCCACTCTGTGTGGTTTGCCTTTCCCAGATGCTTTCCCAACTTGCACCAGTACCTTAGAGTTTCTTGCTTGTTGACTAGTGCCAGCTCACCAGTCCCAGTCCCTTCTGGGATGTTCACAAGATCCCCCTCACTCTTAGGGACTCCTTCTCCAAGCTGCAAGGGCAGCACTGCAGCAGCTTTTGGGGAGATCCTCTCTTTTCTGCATCCCAAGCTTGAATGCCCCCCCTCAAGTACAGGAGCCAGGCTTAATGGCTAAGTACAGACAGTCAAAAAGCTGTAGGATGAATTATGTCAATCTTTGCAGGTTAATCTAAGCTGTGTAGGTTGAACTGATAAGGAAGTGAACAGATATTCACTTCTGATTCTGAAAATGCAGCCACATGTCTGCAGTGGCCCAAGCCAGAGGCCAGGGGCTGCTAGCGCATGCCTCCCTGCCTCAGCTGGAGCAGACAGGTTGCACCAAGTCTAGCCCACCTACAGAGGAGGGGTTTTCAGGGGTGGTGCAAAGTATTCTGGGATGCTGGGTGACTGTGAGTTAATTTCAATCTGGGGGGATCTGGGACAGAAGTTCAATAAAATGATTTAACCTAAATCAGTTAAGTCTGATACTACATCCTTCCAGGTTTATCATAAACTGGTTTTGGCCATTTTGAAAGCGGTTTATGTGCACTATACATCTGTTGTGTTACAGATTTAAACTAGTTTCCAATCACTTGTACAAGGTTGTGTGTAATTTCTATCCCTAGCCATAGAGCCCTGGGTTCCACCTACTTCTGGTCACATGACCCTAGATCTCTTAACTGAGCCTAAGGGTTTCTTCTTAGATCCTCAGCTCTGCCACAGCCACTACTTAAATATCTGCCTGGAATTCAGCTCCCTATCCTATTCCTGCTTGTTCCAGGTAAGTGGTTTGCAGCTTGTTATTGTCTTGCAGCTATGACTCCTAACTCCCTTCTGCTGCCTGTCTCTTTGCAGCTGGCGCCAATTCAGTTGCCAACAGTCTTGCAGCCAGATAATGCTGCCTTCACCCTCTCTTAAATCAGTAGGGGCTACAAGTCCCCTGTTATACGATATTAGTTTATACATTACGAGTCCATCTGATGTCAACAGATGTTAATGGAAAGGAAATTTCTCTCTGTTTTATTCTAACACACATGTACTCTCACTTCCCCTTTAATTTCTAGCCCCTTCCTAACTGTTCTGTTCCTTGATATTATTAGGAGTGTCTTTAGATTAAATGTTCCTAACAATGAAAGCTAAACCAGTGCCAACAGTTAGTGTTCATTTTGTCTGAATGAATAATCTAGAATGGCATGTAACGTTTCATTCCAAATTTTATCTCTGCAAGACCAAGAACCTAACTGCAACTTTAGTGGCAGTCCCCCAAGTAATAATAATGAAACCAAAATATAGTTTCCAGCACTGAACTGTCATGATACAGTGAACTTTCCATGATACCAATGTACTTTTCTGTATCTAAACATGATTTCTCTCTTTGACTGCAACTTTTGTGTTTCAATACATTTGTTCCTTGCTTAATTATTTATGCTATAGCTAAAATAAATTGAATAGAATGTAGTTAAATGCAATGCATAGTGATCCATGACAAAAATGTCTGAAAGTATATTTTTGGAAGACAAAAGGGGAGATAGTTTTGAGCTCTTGAAATCTTTGTAACTGCCCCATTAATGTTTAATTGTCATTGGCAGCCAAGAAATGCCTTTTCATATTAGCTAGACAGTGTTCTTGGGGTGATATGCATAGGTGGCAGAAAGTGATAAAGCTGGTGAAACTGCACCTCTGGGAATGCATAACAGGATCATTTCTGTGATATGCAAATCATGCTGCCAAGTTGCTGTATAAACAATTCATGGGAGAAGTAGTGAGAGGTAGTTAAATCATTGGATCAAATCTCAAAGATAAAATTCATCATGGGGAATGGGAATGCATTTAAAGAGAGTGATTTTGCTTTTCATGTTAAAAAAAAAATTAAATTTAGTTCTATGCCCAAAGCATTTAATTGTATTAAAGAGTACATAACAGATGATTTATCACAACTGTAACAGCTTAGATTAAAAGAAAGCCAATGAATTTGCCCTATAAGGGCAGCATACCTTAGACAGATATTTACTAGTCTAAACAAGATTTTTTTTGCTTCGTTAATATTATCTAGCAAATCAGACTTTATGAAGGAAAAGATTTCTTCATAAATGTTAATCTAGTTACTTTTTACCCCAGAGACTGGGGTAAAAAGTTCCTTAGAAATGTACCAGGCAGTCATACAAACAAGTTTGTAAAAAGAGGAGATTCTTAATTAAATTTTCTTTAACTAGCATCATTAGCTTTACTTCCAGAAAGTTATTGTTGTATCTCACCTAGCCAGTGGAACATGTCAGGACCTTGCAAACAGTGTTTGTTGCAGGAGAAATAATTGACAATGTGTTTATTTTACATTTTTTATATATATGTAATTCCTTAAACAGTTACAGGCAGCGCACTCCTTTAAAGATCTCAGCCAAAATACCACTGCCTTGTTCCCATGGAGTAACTGTGCCCTGAGAATTAAGTCTATGTGGAGAGATTAAAGACAGTGTTAACTTCTTTTAGCAGGTTGTTATAGCTCTCCCAAAGAAACTGTATTAGAGAAAGCCAACAACACTAGGTTTCTATCAAGACTGTCATCTTGCTTGTACACTCAAGAAAATGCTCACAAAACTCTGAATAATAGTACTATCTGGTGACTGTGGCTAGGTCACTTATTAGTTGGGCATAAATGATACTCTTGGCAATGTGTAAGATGCAAATAGAGTCTCTGCTCTGAAGGTCTTATAATCTAAAAGATAGGCATAGATATGGCAAACACAATGAAGGCTTCTTCAAAAATTAGTATCTTGAATGATTGTCACCTAAGAGTAATACATTAAATATCATCATGCCAAAGGGAAAAGGCACATCTCTAGTTCTGTCTCCTGAGCAGAAATGTCATAAAAGTTTATTGAAGTTTAAAAAAAAAATACCAAAGAGACTTTTTCATTGTTTTTTATTGCTCACATTCATGAACTCACACTTTTTAAATAACATACTAAAATATTTTACTTCACTTCTGTTATGCATGACTAAGAAATAAGTGTAGATTGAATGCATTTATTGAAACATACACAAATGCATGTATTGAGATACAATCTTTAAATTGCAGCTAACCAAGTGTGAATTTCATCGGAAGCCCCTTTAAAGGAAACTTGCATTGTCCCTCCCTTCCCTCTCCCGTACCTTGAAAAATTATGATAAGTGCCTTTTTTGGTTTGATGTGGTTTTCATTGAAAACTGAATTCACACAACATAATCCATTGCAGTCTACTTTGTGTGTGTAGATCGAGGTCCTGTTGTGTTGAGCATGATACATAAATGCAATGCAATCTAATTAGTCAAGGCTGAGAAAGATAATAATGGGAAGTAGCATTATCCCATTTTACAGATAGGTTACAGAGGCATAAATGTCTTGCCTGTGGTTCCTCAGGAATTTATGACAGATCAAGGAGATGTGGGTTCAATATCTATCTCTCAGTCGAGTGTCTTAACCCAGTACTGCCCATGCATTTCCTAAAGAAGAAGAATGGGAGTCCATTACAGGCAGAATAGAGTTTAGTTAGCATGAAAGCGGGCAGCTAGTCTTTCTCAATCCATGAAATGTTAACAGGCAATTAAAAGAATAATACATGTGGATGATCCTACTACTGTATTTGCTGCTGCTCTGGCTTTCAGACCAGAAGGCACCATTAGATCCTAGAGGCTGACCTTCTATATATCACAGGCCATTAAGTTTCACCCAGACACTGCTACATTAAGCCCAGATATTTTAGTTAAGCTAAAGCCTTGCAGTCTACATATTGCATATTTAGATGACCAGCTAGTGCAATGTTGGATATACATAAGTAATAACAATCCATCCTTCTACCAATCTAATCTCACCCCGTATGAGAAGAATAAAGTGCAAATGGGTGTGGGTCTGGTTGAATGCATGAGTTATGCTCCTTGATATCAAAGCCCTGTCTCAGAATAATCCTCTGCTGCGTTATGTATGGAGGTCAAGCAGAGGGCCAGCAAGCCGTGTGAATATAACCGCACTTCACAGTTTCCTTCCACATTGTACCATTTATGCCACATGCATATTCATAGACTGAAGTAAGAATTTGGTCTCAGGAGAACACTGGTAAAGAAGTTTGTTAGATGACAATTCAAATAAAAAAGTGAAAAGCTACGAGTTACCATATTCATAGCTGCAGGCCAAATTCTTTATTCATAATGTTGCAGTGGCATTATTAACATCATGTTTGTTTAAAGAGTAACGAATATACTGCTTATGACCCTTCTAATACATGTGTTAAGCAGCATGCTACTGGTTTACACTGGTTATTTTCTGTTTTATGTTTTCTGGCAGGAAGATTTCCCTTGATTTTTATTGCAGTAACAAATGCTATTTATGAATATTGGTAACTAATTCACCAAAGTTTCACCCTGCTACTTCAAGGCTGGTTGCTCACACTTTATGATGAAAGGTTCTGCAAATCTTTTTGGCTTCGCTGTTGATTCTGGGTTGTTTTTGATTGTATTTTGAAGACTGGAAATATTGTATTTATAGTAAATAAATCATTCTCGTTATTGCTGGTGTTATTACAAAACATTTATATAGTGCAGTAAATTTACACTGTACTTTACCAACACAGATAAAGATGTTTCCTGCCCAGAAGAGCTTATAATTCAAATAAGACAAGACAAACACACGAGACAGCGCTTCAGAAGAAGGAGGGTAAAAAGATTATTAACAGTGGGAAAAGGGAAGGAGGGGTTCATTGTGGAGAATGGGGTTGTAGCTGATACCATTTTTAATAATTTTATATTGTAGTTGCCTTCTGTAGGTTTCAAATGAACCTGGGGGTACCATTGCATCAGGTGCCTACAAAAATATTGTGAGCGACAATCCTTATCCCAGAGAGTTTATAACAGCGGGGGCCAATCTTTGAGTTGTGCCATGAAGTGGCCTAGTAGCCTCCCTGAGTAACACTCTGATCCCCTTCACCTGCCTGATTTGTTGCTCTGCTTGTTGCTTCCTTCCCTTTGGTCCCTGCCCAATCTGCTGCTCTTTTTTTCTGCTTCCTGTCCTGTGCACAGAGCCTATTCTGCTTTCTGTGTTTTGCCCTATCTCCTCCTATGCCACCTGTCCTCTCCCTAATGTGCTGTATGCCACACAGAAGTTGCTCGTGCCACTTATAGCACATGTACTACAGGTTGGCCACCCCTGGTTTACAGTATGGCCAATTCTTAGACTTTCCGTAGCAAAGAGAAGGTGGGGTTTTGACTGGTGCTGGAGCTAGTTTCTCCATGACATGAGACACATGGATCCACTTGGAAATTTTACTTTTGACTGGGGGAAAACAACTTTGATTCATTGCTGGAGCTGTTTGCCCATCTCTCAGGGGAAAGCAGTCACTTAAGGCTGCTCAGGAAGTAGGTTGGACCCTCTCTACATCCTCTTGGCAACCTGATACCATCCTTGAAGCAGGAGAATGAAGCAGGCTGGCAGTTCAGGGTGACACTGTTCTCTCCTCCCTTCCTGTTCAGCTTACAGTTTATTTTATCTCCCCTTGAGATGCAGCCTGGGAAGGGAGAAAGGAAGAAGGGCCAATGATCTTTTCCCCTGACTGGGAGGGAGGAGAAGGTAACTTTTCCTGTTATAGTTGGGAGATGCAGTTGTTGGATCAAGCAGTTGTTGGATCAAGACACGCAGGGAGAGCAGGAGTGATGTTGGAGGGGCAGACCTTCTGGGAGCCTAGGAGGTGTGTTGGAACCTGGGGGTTAGAACTGCTGTTCTGGGTCAGATCTGGAAAGCAGAACTGCTGGGGTCGGGGGCAAAACTATTTTGAGGACTGAGAGAACAGGGTTGCTTGTTTGGCGAGATGAATAAATTGCTCAGAGAGGAACAGGCATATATGGCAGTGAGACCTCATGCAGTACCAAAGGGGCAGGGTTAGCTTTCCCAGTAAATTTGGCTGAGTGAGCTATGTCAGTCCTTTCTCTCTGTCTCTCCGCACATGCAAAGAGGATGGACACAAAAACATCAGAAGATATCCAAAAATCTTCTTTGACTGTATATTTCAGGGGCCTGAATCTTGATTTTTGGTCTCTTAAACTTGCCTATGCCGAGTTTATAATCCAAGTGGACTAGACAGATCCAAGGAGTGAGAGAGGAAAGAGTCTCAGAGAAGTGGAGTAATGATTAGTGGCAGGATGTGATTTGACTCATCCTTATCTAGTGCACTGTGTACTGGACCACATTATTTCCCAGTTGAAAGGAAACATTTGAATGAAGGAAGTTGGACTGGTAGATTCAGCCAAGGAAAGTAGTGTAACAGACAAAAGAAAAGTTTAAAGGTAAATCAGGGGAGGGCGTATAGGAGATATGCAGAAAGGGTAAAAATGTAGGAGCGTGTGAAACAAGGGAGATAGTTGGGGGAGATTATCTGGAGTCCTAAGAAGTGAGGCAAGGATCCTGAATGAGATATGATAAAAAGATAAAAAGCAGTTGTTGGATTCAGAGTGAATAAGAGATTGAGAAGGTTTTTTTATTATTATTATTTTTAGGCAATGTTATCAAGAGAAATCTTAGCTTAAAAATATCTTCCAGAATCTCTCTCAACAAACAGCATACAGAGAATAAGTGATGTCATATGAAGTTGTGATTGATACGACTCTATGATGGTTGCTTTACTCAGTGAAGTACTCAGGCACACATGAGTAATGCAAATCATTCCAGCTAGGAACCAGGAAACCTTTCTATCATGTGACACCATCACATATTCTGTGTATGGTCCATTTCGTAGGGGAAAGAAGAATTTTATAAAATGCAAAATGACTTGATTGGCATGGTTTCTCATACATATCTGTCTGCTAAACCAGGCTGTTTTAAATCCAAGACTTCAATTATCCAGGACTCAGAAGCAGAAAGAAATGTTCATGAATACACTTTAGAAACTTATAAAAATTACTTAACATAGCTTTTCTATTTATAATGTTGCTATGTGAGGTTCAGCTATCTCTTCATCTTCCAAGGCTAGGAGCAAGCACTGTGTTGGAAGGCCAGTTGGAAAACTAGAATCCCTCTTTTTTCAGTGATGATAAAGCTCCTACTGGGTTGTGAGATAATGCACCATATATCAGTCATAGGTAGAGGATGGACTACATTAGTTTTATCATAGGTGGATATGGAAGGAATTTCATATTGTGGTAGAATAGCAAGGTAGGACTTTTTTTTTAATGGGCATCTTTAGCTATCTGGACTAGCTTAGGAAAAATAGATTAATAGACACAGTATTGTAGGGAAGGCAAAGGTATGTGATAAATGCAGTTATTACATTGGTATTGCTATAGCTGTGGATAGAAAAGAAGATGGGTCTAGAAAGCGTGCATAAAAATCTGTGGCATCAGTGAGGACTCTGAAGTCAGCTCTTCTACATAATATATTCAGTCTTCCAAAGGAATCTTGTACATTAAGCTAAACCAGGAGTTGGCAACATTGGCCCATGGACCAGATGCAGCCCATGAAGAGGTTTAATCTATCTTGCAAGGCTAGGGACAAAAGTTACACATAAACTGGTTTAAGTGATCAGAAATGGGTTTAAACCTGTGACAGATCAGAAGTTCAGTGCACATAAACCAGTTTCAAAATCCCCTGTCCCGCCAGCACAGACCCAAACTGGGGTCTGCCTGGCCAGGGCAGAGCAGCCCCTGTCAGGGTCCTCCCTCTCCCCCCAGCCCTTTCCGCTGCAGCGGGGGTGTGGCCGGGTGCCGGCCTGGCATAGATCCCTGAGGCGAAGGTCATATCCCCCCCTGCTGCCGGCTGTGACAGTGGGACAGGGGAGAGAAGGGGGGAATTAAACCCTCCTTTGTCCCCCATTCACTTGAGACTACTGCCGGGGACATGCTTTGCAGCAGGAGACCATGGCAGGCTGGCATCTGGCCACACCTCTGCTGCTGCCGGGGGGGGGGGGTGGGGGGGAGAGTGGGGATATGCCCTGGCCAGGCAGACCCTGGCTTGGGTCCCCGCCAGTGGGACAGGAGAGGTAGGGGGGAATTAAACCCCCTTCCATCTCCCCGTTTGCTTCAGGCTGCTGCCGGGGCTGACCACGCCCCCCATTGCTTGAGCGGTCAGGGGGGAAATGCCTGGCAGGGGCTACTTTCCACTCCCCTTCCGGGTATACCCCAACTGGGAACCATGCAGGCCAGGGTGGGGGTTTAAACCCCTTCCCAGTCATACTCAGTCTGCTGGGGCCTGGCCTCACCCGCTCTCCCCAGCTCAGCTTCCCTCCCACCCCAGGCTCACTTTAGTGTCCCCCAGCTTCTAGCCTGAGCCACTGCAAGCATGTGCCTGCATTTCAGGAATCAAAAGTGAATGTCTATTCACTTGCTTGCCAGTTCAATCTATGGGGGTTAGACTAACCTGCAAGAATTGAATTGATTTCGGCTCAGGCTTTTTGAATGTCTGTACCTAGCCCATAGGTCTGATCTGACAAAGGGCGTAGAGCTGCACCAAACTGCCTATATCTCCTCAACAGTGCTCCCCTTCACTTTGGAGCCTGATGCTTCACTGCACCTGTGCTTACCCTCTCTGCAGAGATGGGCATCAGCAGTGAATGTAAGCACAAGCAGCTGGCCACTCTGCAGGAGAGAGATTTGCAGCATGCAGCAGGAGCCAGGTTGTGGTGAGCAGCCTGCATTGGGAAAGGGTGGCCAACCCCTGGCCTACATTATCCTGTACTGTAGAAAACCTTGTGGAAGGAGGCCCTGGGCAGATCTCTCTGTGAGGTTTCCTTCAAAGCGAACACCTTCCTCACCATCTCTGGTTAATAAAATGTATCTCCTCCCACATTGATAAGTCTCCAAGGGTCTCCCTGCAACCCTGTGAGATTCCTTGTCTTAAATTGCCTGTACTTTTGTCCACAGTAATGGAGTTGTGTTATCAGGGCTTCTCCTTAGGCATCGTTGTCCCTTGGGTGCACCCCTTCCTCTTGCAGGGTCTGAAGCAAAGATGATACAATTTTAGCCTGCATTATGTTTTAAGTAATTTCTCTGAGGTTAGAGGAGGGGGTGGTATCTATGAGTGGCCTGGCAAGTCTCGGCTTCTAATAGACTGCAAGTTGATGCCCAGAGGTGGGAGAAAGGAACCTCAGTGATATCTGAACACCCTTGCTAGATAAAAATGGAGATATGGACATGGAAACTTCACTCTTGACATCTATCTAGGGAGTTTGAATTGGTCCAGTAGCATTCAATAAGACTGGCTGATCTAACAGAACTTTTCCATTTATTTTCTGTAGTTCTTTGCTACAGAGAGAATTTAAGTTTCTCCTGAATATTTTCTCATTTATTTTCTTAACAAGGAGAGAGGGGAAAAAGAAGACCAAAAGGGAACATTGACATAACAAAGAACTTTTCCCTAATGTGTCTATTGTATACTAGCTGCTGCTCCGACACAATATCGCCACCTTCATTAATATATTTTATTTCCATGCTGTACATTGGGTTTTTTATGTGCTTCCTCTATTGTTTGAAACATGTCTTAGGGAAATGTTGTGTTATTAAAGGATTTTGAAGGCCTTGGATAAAAATCAGCATTATATTGAGCTTTTAAATATATATATTATTATAAGCAGATTTGAAGACTTTGAAATTATCAGTATATTGTTACACTGGAATTCTTAAAATGCTGCTATTTGATGAAATAGTGTAATTTATTCAGGAAGCATTCTTCTT